GGCCCTGCCCTGGGAACTTCGCGAAGTCGTTCCCAACGGGAATTGCTTCTTCTTCAAACCGTTTGGATAGATCGTGCCAAGTCTTCCTCGGATTCAAAGCACCCGTGACAACAGCAATCAGGTCGATGATGCTGATCTTGGGCGGCACATCAGTCGTCTTCCTGATGCGAGCGCCTCGAAACTCTCCGAAAAGATCATTGTCGAGAACTAGGTCCCTCGGCTGGGTGCTGACGACTGCACCAACGTTCTCGAGCGACGGCGTCTCGTTGACAACCTCAGTGGTGGACTCGACCACCGGACGTAAACATAAGCCGACGTAGACGCCGGTGCTCTTTCGGTTTGGCCCGTACGCCCTGGTCGCGATAGCGTAGCCCGCCCCCTCCATGGCCTCTGGAAAACCCTTGGGAACGGGCTCCCCTCCCTGCCACACCTGGAACGCATCTCTGAGCTCGCGGCGCGCGACGAGCAACCCCTCGCCGGCATCGCACCGCGCCGAGACGAAAGCGCGAAGCTTGTCGGAGTCCATCCTGATTATGAAACATCTGGGAGGGTGTTATTCAATTTGTAGTGTCCGGCGTTTGGACTTTTCTCTGACAAGTCCAGCAGAACAGAGATCTCGAAAACACATGGTTACGGTTCTTGTGCATATTCAGCATAATTGATTGAAATATGGATGTCAAAGCGCAAAGAAAGAGCCGCTTGCATCCATGAACATGTAACGGAAAATGTTCAGACGACGTCAATTTTCAGAGATACTTTGAATGTTCTTGATGATGGTCTCGTAGTCGGCAGCTCCTTTCCTGTACAGCTCCCTCGATAATTTGAACTCCTTAAGTCTTAGATGCACAAGTACTTCTAGCTTCCTGCAGTCTCTGGCCGGTATAGTCTTCAGGCTTAGCTGTTGTCCGTAGTACGTCATGTAGCGTCCTTTCAAACGTTGGTACGATCCGGTCCACATACCAATCTTGACGGCGTCCAAGAGCGGCGATGTGGCCATATAGACACATCCATCTAGCTTCTTTGGAAGTAGAGACAACGCCTGGGTGTTCAAAACGGTGCGGAACGGATCCATATCTCGATTTTTCCGGATCTCGTTCACGAGACTTTCATCCCCCTCGGCAAATCTGACGACTATGTCTGCACATGTATTGCGGAACATGGCTGCACGCGGGCCCGAGAGGTGATTGATGATCTTGACCGCCCCCCGCGCATCCACCACCGGGGTTTGCTGCTGCCCTTGGCCGGCAAATTGATAAGATGAGTGGTGTAGTTCATCCGAGTTACTGAAGCGCCCGGATAAATCATGCCAGGTTTTCCTGGGATTCGAAGTGCCGGTGACGGTAGAAATGAGGTCGAGGATGCTAACTTTGGTTGGTTTGTCGTTCGTCTTCCTTATTCGGAAGCTATGATTCTCGGCATCAAAAATCAACACCTCAGGCATGCACACCACTGCGCCAGGCGGGAGGGGCCCTGAGGCAACTTCTGCGCGGTCAATAACGGCGTCCAGTACTTCTTCTACCCGCTTCGTCCCCTGTTGGGTCGCGCTTATTGCCACACCCAAGTAGACTCCCGTCATCGTTTTGTCCGACCCATAGCTTCTGGATGCAAGAGCGTAACCCGCCTCCTTCATGGCTTCGGGTAGCCCCCTCGGAACCTTCTCACCTCCATTCCAAGCCAACAATGCGTCTCTAATCTCGCGGCGCGACACGACCAATCCCTCGCCGGTGACGCAGCGCGCCGAGATGAATTCTCGAAGCTTGTTCGGGTCCATCCTGTTTATGAGAGACTCTGAGAAGTATCCGTCGCATTTGTACGAGTCCAGGCTGGACTTTCCGACGAAGTGTCTCGTCGAAAAGAAGCAATCCAAGCTCTTTGAGTACAGTCCGTTTTACACGTGGCGACGAACTGTTCGCCGCATTATTTTCGCCACACAAGGCATGAAATATCTCTGCTGGCTTGGGCGCCAGGACTGGCGACCACCGGACTGGTTTTGAACATCAGAGCTCTGGCTCGACCTAAACCTGCCCCGACGTCCGCACTCAAGACCACTTGACCGACTCAATCTATCTCATGTCGAATCCAAGTCTGCTCGTTCACCGCGGCTCCCACTCGTTCCTATTCAGCAGATGCCACACCAA